TCTTTTAGGCCTTAATCATGCATCATTCTTCTGAAAAGTTTTGGGCTCCCCATATGAGCAGTCAAATTGGCCAAGCTTACAGGTTATAGGAATAAATTGTTCAGCACCTTGTTGTTTTCTTACCATCATTGGTGCATAACTTGTTGACCTCCATAGGCCTAAAAGTGGAACCCTTGTCTCATCTCCACATTGATACAACATAGGTTCTCTATCCATCCACGGAGCTAATCATTTTACTTGACCAACTGTGAGCCCTTGTAGCAAAGATTTCCACTCCTTTTAAGTTTTTACCTTTGGCCAATTACTCTGATAGAATTCTCTAATTGGACTTCGAGTGTGGAAATAAAGTTTGATAAAAGTACTTTTCTTACATTTAAAATGGCTCTTCATCCATACAAATAATAAGGGTACGTAACCCATGAAAGGTGCTTTATCCATCTGCCAACAAAAATTTAGAGACCTGATAGTTTCTACCAAGATAGCTGGTGAAGGATTACACCCCCTTTCAATCTGCTCAAATAGATACACCATTTTTATCTCAATGTATCCTAAAACCTTAGGGAAAATGACCAACCCATATATGGCTAGAGAAAATGCATTAATTTCCTAATCATCATCTGGATGCTTGATAGTGAAATCCTAGAAAACCTCTCATAGAATACCCTTGTTATCTCTTTCTCTCGAATGTATGAATCTATGGTTTCCTTTCCCACTTTTAGCATCTGACCCAAGTTCCTACGACTTCCTAATTTGTGTTTCTTCATGTATATTCTGTCTGGATACAATAAATGCATACCCATCAGAGTTGAATACTCCTCTATAGTTGGTATTATATCAACCTCATTAAAGATGAAACATTGGTAGGAAGGATCCCAAAACTAAACCATCACCCTAATAAGTGAGTAGTCAACCTCCACTAACATGAGATGTGCAATATGCCCAAACTTCTCACAAAAAGTCTTCTGCCTTAAAGGGGTCATACTATTCCATACATCTAATAAGCATTTCAGATCATTATGTTTAAGAAGTAGGCAGACTTCTCCTGATAGTGTAGGGACATGACCAAGTGGCAAATGGTCTCCTTCTTCTAGCTGCCTCTTTTCTGATTCCATCCTCACCTCTATGGGAGAGTCACATTTGAACAACATAGATGAGGCACAAACTTGACATTCTATGAAATCCATAAGGGTTTTTGTTGAAATAGCTTTGGGATAAAAATACTATGCAATTTGTAAAAATGTTCATGAATGTGTAAAAATGTTCATGAATGTACAATAAAACATATAGTAAACATAACAACATGACCTAGAATTTTGGATTATTTACAAAGGATGGGAAGACAAGGCTCTATCTATGGTTGGGTTTTTAAGGTTGACTATATGCGATTTAGGTTAATTCTAAAAGGCCTCCAAATTGTTCCTTACATCATGATCTATTACAGACTAGTAAGACATCCCAATCCTCACCCATCATAGGCTACAAGCGAAAAATGTTCAATTTGAGTAGGAGTGTTTCGCAGGCCCATGTAAAAACATGAAATCTCACGAGGGCATAGGTACTTCACTCCCTCTTAAAGGTAAACCCAGGTGAAGGGTTTATGTTATGCACATGCAAATGAATGATAGATATATACAGTAAATAAATAATTAGGCAAATATAAATGATGAAAAAAAAGTAGGTATACACAAATGAAAAGGAAAATAAATAATAAAACAGATATAAGCAATAAAAGGGAATAAAATAATTTCAAACTTATTAAGCAAGGCTTGGATAATAAGAAATCATTTACTGGCTTGACTCTCAATGTCCCTAGTGGAGTTACCAAACTATCATAACATATAGATCCGTGGACCTACCGCTAGACATTGATGAAAAAGAATCGCCACCAATCTTTTTTGGTTATATGTGATTGGCCACCTGATTGAATCTGATCTGTAAAATAAATGTTAGGTTCAGGAATTGGTTACGCATGAGAAATGTTGTAGCACCCCCACAACATCCATTCGAAAGATGTTACTAGTTTGATTTCAAATTATCCAAGCTGTGATCATTTTTATGATTTACCAAATAATTTAATATTAAAAATTAACCCTAAAATTGGCTCAATAGTTTGATAGCAATTTAGGATAATTCTCTCACCTCAGAAGTATTCATGGAGACTAGTGTCCCACTCTGAAGATGCTCCGTCGTCGGATTTATTAATTTATTATAAAAAAATAGTGTAACCTCCCAATAGTTTGGTAGGGCTCACTTCAAAGCAATCCTCCAATAGTTTAGAGGATGAAAACTATTTTTGTTTATTTGAAAAAATATATTTTTAAAGGATTTTTTTATTATTTTTTATCATTTTTTCATCAATTTTTTAATTATTTTTTTACTTTTTTATTTTTTATTTTTTTTTGGAAATAAAAATTATAGAAATAACCTTTTTTTAATAAAACCAGACAATAGGAAAATAGGTTAAAAATAAAATTAAAAAATCAAATCAAAAATAAAAATAAAATAGAAAAAAAAACTTGCGATCGGGTCGGGTCAAGGCGTGGGTTAACACGCGGATCACTGGGTCTACGCACGGATCCTAGCTTATCCAAAATGATGTCGTTCAACTTTCGTATAAAAGCTAAGCTTCAACACTTTTCTTCACAAGCTTTCTGTTCCTTCTCTCTCTACCCCAACTTTTCTTTGCCTTCTCTCTAGAGCTACTTGAAACTTCAATCAGGGATCATAATTCCATCAATTTTTGAAAAAATTATCAAAAAATTCAATCGAAATCTATTGGTTTCTAGAAATCTGGCTAGATTCTAGAAATATTGTCGGAATCTCGTTGGAATCTCACTGAAAACTTCAAATGGTCACCGAAAAATTCATTGAAAAATTCATGTTCTTCCCCAAAACCCAAAAAAACCTAGAAAACCTAGATTTCTTCAAATATTTTTAGATTTCTCCAAATTTCAGCCAAATTACTCCCAAAACCTCCCAGAATCGTTTTTAGCTTTAATCCTAACCCGTAAACCTAAAATCGATCCTACAATTCTCGATTGAACTTCAAAACCCAAAATTAAACTACTAGAACCCTTTATACCCAGTATTTCCTAAATTTTTTTCACAGTTTTCTTCCCAAATTTTTCGTATCTCTCTGTGTGTTTTTTTTTTTGTAGAAATTAGTCTAATTTATAGGCAACCTTAACAATGATTTTAGGAAACAGACAAAATCAATCCTAGGCTTGAATCCTGGGATTGCATTATGTCCAGCATGATATCTAGTCCAAAATCCTAGTAATTTGATCATGTGTTTGACCTAGGGATTCTGATCCCGATTCTATTGTGCACGTGTGGATTGAAACAGAAAAAAAAAAAGTAACAAAGAACAAAAAAAAAATAATAATAATAACAAGCTATCCACTTAGGTCTGGACCCAAATGGGCCTAACTGAATCGAATATTGATGGGTCTAATCGGGTCCAGACACAAATAGGTGTCTATGATAGGGATTAGTTGTAGACAATTATTCAACTAACATTTAATTCATTTACATATATAAATTAAAAAGAATTCCAGCAAGTACATCAATCGTATACAAAAATATTAGATGGTTGAAAGATACTTTTTTATCCAAAAATTAAAGCTAGATTTGGTCCGAACAACAATAAGAAATAATCAAGTAGTATAGAAAAAATATTATCCTTGCAAAACCAAAAAAAAAAAAATGTTGAAGTCAGTGTTTTTTATAGGTTCGAGTGTGGGTTGAAAGGACAAATAAGTTAATCATTTATCGTCATAAAGTATTTTGTTGAAAACAAATACGAATTTAAGAGTAGCTAAAGGAATAGATATACAATCTAACTATGCAATAATATACAATCATACCATGAATTTCAAAGAAACTATGTACATTTTCCATAAAAAATGCATCAAGGAAAAACATGTGTATTACCTTTTTGCGTGCATTTTCAACTTAACTAAAGCTATGTATTTAAAATAAATGCATAACCGTTCAATGATTACCTATGCATATTTTAAGAAGCAGACAAGTGGAATGAAAAATATAAAACAAAGTAGTCTCGATATAATGCACATAAAATATGGGTTTAAATTATTGAATAGTTCTTAAGCAGTTTAAATTTACTTTTTTGTGCATGATTTCACTTTCACTACCTTTATATTTGACATGAAATTCATTGAAATGTTATAAATCAAACCTTTTTCCATATTTTTGTGAAATATATCATGGGAAAATTAACAACTTATCTTACAATATTAGAACAATTGTCCTTTGCAATTAAACCAACAAATAATTCACATGGAATATACCATTAAGATAAATAGTAACAGCTCAACTTTTGTAAAACCAATCAATCTATTTCTTTTGTAGAAAGAATACCCCTTTTAAGCTAGTAACCCTTATGAGAGAGATACTATCAATTCATACTAAAAGGAAGGAATTCTTAGAATTGTTGATTACCTGATTAGATGTATCAAAAGTTTCAACCAATAAAATAGCAGCCAATCGAGTAGGCTATGCACCTTAGCGGGATGTTATTCACTATAAGCAAGAGCAAGAGTAAGAGTATTTCCTCATAAACCACCAAAGACTTGAATAATCAGAAAAAAATATACATAGTTTTGCCTGTTTTACATTTTCCCTTGTCTTTTTCTACCATTCGATTTACCATGAAAGTGTCTATAAGAGACTGAGAGCAAGCATCTTTACGTGTTTCGTATTCTGTGTTGTTTTCCTGTCTGTCTCGTCACCTTGAAAAACATATGATTTTTCTTTTTATGTATTCCTTTAGTTTCATTCTCTGAAACCCTCCCTGGAAAGGGTTCCCTGCTTAAGATTCATCAAAAAAGAGAAAAAAGTAGCAAAAATGCTTCTACGAAGAAAACGTGCATTTCTCAGAGCTCTGCTGCGGCTGACTCTGGTCATAGGATCCCATCAAACCGATTTCCTTGACAGCCTCACCGATCAACAAAATCCAAAGAACATCTTCAGATAGCAACATGAAAGAAATCGCTATTCCAAAAAGGCAAAAGCTACCCGTCAGTCCGATGGGTTCTCCAGATTCGGTTAAAGAAGGAACTAATTCCAGCTCAACAACTCTCTCCCTTGCCGGTGGCGGTGATAATGGTGATGATGTTGGTGGCAGGGATGGAGCAGAAGCGTTTGGGGATTGGGGTCAAAGGAAACAAGGAATGGATGAGTACTACCAGAATATGATCAAAACTTACCCTGGAGAGTCTCTTCTTCTTACAAACTACGCTAAATTCTTGAAAGAGGTGGGAGAATTAAAAAAAAAAAAAGAAGTCTAGTCTTTTTCGTTAATTTGATTGGTTCCTATATTTTTTGTGCAAGTTTATCTCGTTTGATTCATTAGGTACGAGGTGATCTTGTGAAAGCTGAGGAGTACGAGAGAGCGGTTTTGGTGAAACCAGATGACGGTAAAATTTTATCAATGTATGGAGATTTGATATGGAGTAACCATAAAGATGGAGCTCGTGCTCAATCTTTTTTTGATCGAGCTATGCAGGTCTCTCCTGACGATTGGTATAACTTTTTCATCCCTTTTAATTTTGCCAACTGCAACCACCCAATTTCTTCTTCAATTTTTCATGGACCTTAGAATTGTTAAATTAATTCAGCCATGTCCTTGCATCTTGTGCTCGATATCTATGGACTGCTGATAAAGGAAAGGAAGAACAACAAGAGGAAGGGAAAGATAAGCAGAAGAATGAACATCAAAGCAATGGTACTAAACCATACATAACCTTGCAACATGCCCCATTTTCCCCCCATTTAGCAGCTGCTTCTTATTAACCCTTGCTCAATTGTGGCTTTTTTTTTTTTTCATGTCTTTGTTTTCAGCCATTATGTAAAAAAAAAAAAAGAAACGAGTCCGTTTTGTATATATACTATTTGCTCGGAGAAATTTCCGAAATGAAAATTTTCTTTGAACTGAATTTTGTACCCTGTACAGCACTAAATTCTTTCTTTATTATACGTATATAATAAGTTATGAAACAATACTCTGACAATATATGAAATAATTTTCCTATATATATATATATATATTTCTCTCAATATTTAATGTAAGTACAATTATTTTCAGTAAAATGTATTTGTTAGTTAGATCAAGGATGGACATGTTTATGAAAATAAGCTATGACAAGCTCAAAAAGATCATACAGGTAATTTGAAATTGGATATCTAGTTCAATAGAAATGATACAAATGTTGTAGTGAACTAAGAATTTTTAAAAATGATTCCAAAAAACCAACAAGTGGTTGGTTCAATCGGGTAAGGTCGTTCTTCTTGATTAAGAGGTTTTGAGTTCAAATTCTATCAGATACAACACATCTTGTGGTGCCGTAACCTGGGAGATTGAGCAGTCTATCTACCTCCAAATTTTTTTTATAAAAAAAAAAATGATTCCAAATCCAATTCTATAATCCAACCAATGAGATTTTAGAAAACCAAAAATTTCTTCATTTGACCTTGAGGGATTGCATTAAGGAATATCTTCAAATATGATTCTTCGACAAAGTGCATTTGTAATTTTAAATCTTTTATTTAGGTTTCATTTTGATTTCTAATTTTTAAATTATTTCATGATAGTCTCAAATTTTTTAAAATGGTGTCAATATGATTATCTAATCAAATTTTATATAAAAATAAAAAAGAATTACAACTTAAGATAATATATTGAGAATTATTATTTTTTGTTATCTAACTAAAATATATTTACTACAAAATAAATATGGCATTTAAAATTTTTAAGAGTGAAATAAAATTATCATTCTTGCCCTAGTTTTCAAATTTTAACTTAAAATTAGAGAAAGAAAATTATATTTTAGTTTTTTTGTACATAGGATGAGCATAGCCCATAGGGACTTTAGTTTCCTCCGGAATAATTTTTTAAAAATTTATTTTCTTTCTAATAAATATACTTTAGTATGATAGTAAAAAGGAATAATTTTTTATCCACCGTGATTTTATTTCTTTTATTTATTCTTAGTTTATCAAATTTTATTTTTTTATATTTATAAATTTTGATCAAAGAATATAAAATTAAATTCTATTACAAATAAATTTAAATTTAAAAAAAATAAAGAAATGAAACATACCCAAATAATGTTTTAACACTTCATTAAATAGAAGTAATTAACAATTAATAATTTAACAAAATACTCTTTGCAAATTATTACTGGTTTAAGTTGAAACTCTCTAAAATTATACCTACCTAACATAATAAACTTATAGGGGTATAAATGAACTGAATATTAATGAATAGATGTATGTCCTTAATTTGTTAGTTGATTTTTAAATCCATTTGGCTCAATTTGTATTTAATAATAAAATTACTTTGTTCATTCAAACTTGTTTTATTTAAATTGTAAGATATTTATATTCAATTTGTATTTAGTTCAATTAAGTTAAATTAACTTTTTCGTGAATATTAAATGAACATATTTATGAACATTAAACAAGTCATAATTAAACAAATTTAAATAAAAAGACTTTAAACAAATATAAACAAACTTTAGACGAAAATAAATGAGAGCCTTAGACGAATGAATTTTAAATAATCTTTAAATGAGCTAATTCACAAATATAAATGAACTAAATAGATTTTTTTGTGTTTGATTTATTTAATAAATAAACGTAAAAATATTGTTCAAGATCACTTGTTAATTTTAATAAACAAATTAAAATCGAATATATTATGAATAATTCATTAAAAGGTCTATTTATTTATACCTCTACAAACTTATTTAGAACTATAATCTCTTGAGAAAATATTTTATTAGAATTAAATCATTTAAGATCATTTAACAAATGACAATAATTCTCATACTGTTTAGGTTTAAAATTATAGTTATAATGTAAACATTATTAATTAAGTTTTTTAGTAAATATAAGCTTTTATATTTTTTTAAGAAAATAAATGTCAACCACCCAAGTGTCTAAATTATTTGGATATGTTTCATTTCTTTCTTAATTGTTAAAAATAACTTTTATTTTTAAAAGAATTTAATTTTTATATTTTTATCAAAATTTGTAAATATTAGAAAAATAAATTTTAATAAAATAAAATAAATGGAATAAGGATAATGGATTTAGAATTGTTATTCTTTACGATCATAACAAAATTTATTTGTTAAAAAATAAAATTTTTATAATTATTACAAAGAAAAATAAGATACCATTTTTTGTTATGAGTTTAAGTTTAATTTTTAAAATCAAGGAAAAAATATACTTTTGTTTCCGTGTAAAAAATTTTCTAAATTTTAACTTTTTACCAATAAATGTACTTAAATTATTGTGGTATGTCTTATTTCCTTTTCTTGGTTAAATATAATTTCTAGCTTTATTTTTAATTGGATTTAATTTTATATTTTTATTAAAATTTTTAAATATTTGAGAAATAAAATTTAATAAGATACAAAAAGGAAAAAAAAAAGGATAATAGACTCAAAATTATTACTTTTTTGGTATCATATTAAAATGTATTTATTAAAAAACAAAATTTTTATAGTTATTTTGAAAAAAACTAAAGTACTATTTTATCCTTGATTTTAAGTTAAATTTTTAAAATCAAGCAAAAAATTATATTTTATTTCCTTCTAAAAAATTTTATAAAATTTTATTGCCTTTCTAATAAATACATTTTGAATGATTGTAAAGACTAATAATTCTGAATCTATTATTGTAATTTGTAATTTCCTCTTATTTTTATGCAAATGTACTATATTAATACTTTTTTAAAAAAAGTTTAAAATTATCATGAAACAATTTAAAGATTAAGGATCAAAATAGATTTAAACGAGAGATTTTGGAATTAAATGCAGTTTACCCACGATTCTTCCTTTTAATAGAAAGTTGGCAAAAGGGAAATTCACTTTTTTTTTTTTTTTTGTGTTCTAGAACTTTGCTTTCCTAGTTTCCTATTAATTTCATTTTTCGTAGGAATCAGTTTTCTCCATTGTTTTCTTGACAACCGATCAACCATAGCAAACCATATTAAAGACAGAATCTCTGATCTGAGTTCCATGGTGGATGCCTCTTTCATCCCTCTTGCAGTCGCAATTGCCCCCATTTGGTCTACAATTGCATTCCCTCGTACATGCCCTTTTCTTCTCAGATACGCGTGGTTAAATTCCTCTTCCATGCCCTTTTATCAGTATTCCCGGTATCCTGAGCTATGCTGACCAAGTTTCCAACTTATTCGAAGATTGGCTAAAGCATGAATCTCAGTATGTTGAGACCTTTTGTGACTTTATCAGCATTTTCGTAAGACCTTATCAAATACAAACTCAACTGGCTCACTTTTCCCAAATACTATAACTGAAAGGGGCCAAGCTCCCTTGTATAATCTGGTATAGCAGCCTTCATCAAGCCTTTTATCGCTGCTCTGTAAAAATTACTGAAAGAAAACAAGTAGGCCTATGACCAATTGACCGTTACAAATTTTCAATCACTTGAACGTCGCTTGCGTGTGGACTGATGCTCATAGTGCAGAATTAACTAGGCAATAGCACATAGAATAAACAGAGAGCATTTACAACATGTGGCAGACTCAGAACTTTAATTCACAAGTAGTTCAGCAGGTTTGGACAAACCCTGTTTGATAACGGATTATCTAACACCAACAGCAGACTTCAGAATTTTGCAAAATATATTCAATAAGCCATCCTTAAACAACATAAATTAGGACAACTTGGTACATGATTGACATACAGTGCTGCAAACAGGAGTGCAGAATCCTAACAAGCCCAGAAACCTTTGCGAGCAACACAGCAAACAGCCAAAGCCGGCTGAATATTGGAGAAGACAACATCATAACCCATAATGTAGAATTTTGCATGCCTTGATCATCAAACAGTTCAGTCTTAGACGTCCTTATTTAGGCAAAATGAGGTCAAGAGCTTCATATATGAACATCCACTTAAAACCACAGCCATGCTCAATGCTCCAGTGCAATGGGCTCTTGTATCAATTGCAGCTGTCCTTGCTCTCTAATCACTGGCCCTGGATCCATGTCGGGCTGGCTTCCACCTGAATCAGCTATGGAAACTGCCTCCTGTTGTTGGATTGGAGATAATTCCTCATTTGTCAAATCAGACGACACAGTATTCTTCTCATTTGTTGCTTTAGATGAGGCTATCTTTCCTGCAGTAGTTGCTATAGAAGTAATTACCTTTTCCTGATTGGATGCCTTGGATGCCTTTTCCTCATTTGTTGCACTGGACAAACTAGTCTTTTGAGAAGGCAGTTTGGGAAGCGATTTCCTCTGTGGCTTCTTTGCATGAACAGGAGAAATTACATCCGCAGAGATGCTCTGAGATGCTTTCTCATCCAGACTTAACCGGCCTGATTGTTGGCCACTATTGCTGTTACCATCAAAGTCCGAAGGAGTTGAGCTTTTCCTCCGACCAAGCTTTGGAGATTTAGCTCTTGTTGGTGGTATCTGCATCCAGGCAATAGAAAAAGATTAATTTTGCAAATCTTGAGAAAATCAATGCAGCCATATAGCAGATAAAGAAATAGAAAAAGAGCAATAAAGTCTTACCATGGTTAACAACATGGGTATTGTCCAAAATAAAATTGCACATGAAAAAATATATTACAAAATGATGCATGTATCCACACAGTCAAGAGAGAAAAAGAAGGTGGTCTGTGAGGTGAGGTATGGGACGAGGCAACTTAAAGCAGTTCAATTCAAAGTTACACATTCAACAGGTTTAACCAAAGCAGATAAACCTTGGTCCAAAAAATCTTTCTTGCTGTCACTTAAGGTGAAGTTGGAATTCCTACCAAAATAAGGGTGTCAACAAATGAAAACATCATGCCAAAACTAGGATATTTTAAGATAGTAAAAGTTTGGCTACAATGCTTAACATAAAGTAGCTTTGATATTACGTGGCACTGTTTAATAGGCATGATGACCAGTACAATGTAGCTCCAACGAAAGATGCAGCAGATGGCATGACTTGTTCTAACAGGGATTGACCAATTACAGCAGAGTACCAAATACCCAATGGAAAATATTGCGAAAAGCATCTAAGTTCGAATCTTACAACATAATACAAGAGGCTGAAAGACTACAGAAGATTTGCCCCTTCAAGTTCAACCTCATGTCTGCGATATATCATCTTACGCTCTCAGGTTTATTCAGAAAGGATTTCACTAATTATCATAACATCGATTTAATTGTTAATCAGTTCAAGTTGTTATAAGTTAAATGTATCAGCTCCAGGCCTCCAATTAACAACGACAATTGACAGAAGTATGAGCTTCAACTCAACAATCTACCAGTATTTTGAAGAAAAGGAAATGGCTATGGTAGGATGATGAGCAAAGACAGGTGCAAATGCCTGAATAACAAATGCATACAAGTGGAAAAGCCGGTAAACCTAATGATAAGAGCTTGAAAAGTAACCTTGGCACCTACATGTTCAGCATTTCAGTCCTCCCCACCCCCAAAAAAAGAAGAAAGAAAGAATATGAATAAGCATGCCATTGTAGTTAAAATTGAATTACAGAGATGAATTTGCCTATGCAAATCTCTATATTCAAAGGATCATCTAGCTTTTTATACATTTAGAACACTCAACTAACCTTCTTTAATTCCACCTTAGAAGGTGGAGGTTCCTGATAGAAGCTTGGCATTGGAGTTGCTTTAAAGTTCAAACTCTTCCTAAACATCTTAATCTCAGCTTCTTGAGTTTCCTGGCAGAAAATTGAAATATCATTATGATAAGAAATAAACAATTCTGGACCATAAGCCATCATATTCACAAAATAACACCTTGGACTTGGCTTGCAAGTTGCTCTTTTCTACTTCCCTTGCATGAATCTTTTCCTCAAGTTTAGTGTAGAACTGCACAACACAGTGGTGAAGGATTAAAAGTTAAGTAAAAGTGCTGCAAGAATAGACAAAGTTAAATCTGGAGAATATAATATAAAGCACCAACCTCTTTCCTTTTCTCAGCCCGTTCATCACACTTGAAACTGAAACCATAATTTGGAAGAGTACCAACCCTATGAGCTTTGGCATCTGCTTCCTTGGGGCTTCCATGAAGCAATTAAGGACAAACATAAATGTGTCATTTAAAAAATAGAAACCTATAGACAAGAGTGCAAAGGAAACTCAAATAGCAACCCATTTCAACCCATAGTCACAGACAGAAAGTAACAACAAAAGGTTCAAACTGAAAAGGATACGAGGACTCTATGTCTCCTTCAGCTTTACTACAAAGTCCTTTCTTCAGAGACTTCAGCTTGGGTTTCTCCCTGTGATACACAATAGAAAAATTGAGAAATAGCAGGAGAAAAAATCTGTCATCATGTACCACATAAAGTCTAATTTCATGGGAAACTAAATAGATGAAAGTTGGCCACTAAGAGCCCCCGTCTCACTTGGTTAACAAAATCAATAACAAAGGCAGAAGGCTGCATGAAAAAAAGAGAGAAGAAATTCAAACCTAAGAACAAGTAGTACTTACAAAATGCCTTGAGAGAAGACTGCGTCAGGTTTTTCAGAATGCTGTCACAAGCAGAGAGAGAGTAAAAGAAATTATCAGAAAGGAGGGAACAGTGATAAAATAATAGAAAAAAAGAACCGAAAAATGCATAGAAAAAGAAATCAGTAGTACTATCAACTCTAACCTTGGAAGCATTGACTTGTCTTTCATTAAATGATCTACTTTTAAGAGGCTGTTTCAGATGTGAATTTGTAGCAACAGAACCACCATTCGAAGCTGTCAACATCGCCTCTGCACTCTTTCCATCTTTGCTTTTCTTCACTAAAGCTGAAGAAACATTTTTAGGACCAGAGGGCTTCTCATTCTTTGTCTTGCTTTGAATCTTTTGAGGTTTGGATTGCTTCACATTATCTTTGACTTCCCCTTCCTATGAAGACAGACACTCATGCACATGAAATCAGACTAATGGTAATTATTAAAAGCACTCAAACAGAATGTAAGACCTACTACCTTAGAATCAATCAATCCATTGCTTTCCACAAAGTCATTTGACCCTTCTTTGGCTTCCCCAGTTGTTCCATTGTTATCCAATTCATTCTGCAAATAAGTCTCGAAGGCTTCCTCAACATTCCCATTCACATTATCTAATACACCACTGTCGTCCCCAGACACCCGAAGTTGCGGATAAACACCATTTTGATTGGCAACCTCAAGCCCACCCGCAGACAATAGATTATCCGAATCCATTACACACTAACAGGAATAAAACAAACAAAAGTGCAAGTCTAATTACAAACAAACAATGAAAAGGAATTAACACCTTCACTAATTTAAAATTCTCAAACTCTAACAGCAATTATAAATTATATAATATTTACTAATTTTCATTGATCTACTCTATCCAGGTTCATCTCTTACCACTTCGAAAGGATAAATAAGCGACCAAATATAGATTTCCAAAAATATTTATCGCATTTGTGATATTCTTCGTTGCTATAAATTTGATAAAAATGAACAAGAAACACTAAATTAGATCTTATATTTGCAAATAAAAAGTAAACAAAAATCAAATTCAAGACATCAAGAGTTGCTTTTAAAATTTTACAAAGCGGAATCGAATCAGTGAAAAACCGAGTAAAATACATGATTTAAGTAGAGTAAAGCTCCAATGAGTACAGGGATCTTCGACGCCTGCAACCAACTAACAAGTTTCGCTTCACATTGATCTACTCTTACCCCAAAAAAAAAAATTCGCTCAGTTTTTCTCAGGAACCAAACAAACGAGATTTAAACATAAGAAATTGTAATAATTTTCTTTCTTACCTCGTAAAACGTGCGATAAATCAAAACTCCATGAAGCCGGAAGGAAAATTAATGAGAGAAATTAGAGAAGAAAATCGAAAGGATCTGAGAAAAGGAAGATAGTAAGATAAACAGTGAAGATTAGAGGATCTAGGGCCCTGAACAGGAAGATCTTCAAAAAAAATAATAATTGGAATTTGAAATTTTGTTTTTGTTTTGTTTTTTTTTTTTTTTTGAAAAGTTTGTATGGGTTCTCTAATTTTTTAAGGTTGTAAGGTATTTTATACGAGCGGCTTTCAAATCCATTTCCAGATCACTCACCCTTTCAAGAGAAAATGATGGATGTCTCAAAACCCCCAAAATACAGTCAAGAAAATACTGTTTTATTTTCCCTTTTTTTTTCTTTTCCTTCTTTTTACCGGCATTTCGGAAAATTACTGACTCTTACTTAACCGCCACTAGTAGAAATTATTGTTTTGTCAAAGACTGCTTGGATTTTTTTTTTTTTTTGAAAAATTGAAATAAGATCAACGGGTTTTTGTAAAATTGACGATGAGGATTTAATTTAAGGTTGAATTTGATAATTGTATCCTCAAAGGTTAGAAGGGCAAGCACCTGGTTTGCGCCATGGAGAGCTAAGGTAATTCATATTGACTGAAGCATGATGAGGATTCCATTGCCATTGCATTAGATCTTTTCACTTTAAAAAGTTGCAAAATTTGCAATACAATTCGTACTAAATTGCAAAACGAATTAAATACAGGTTTTTCATTTTAGATTTTGGTAAGTTCAGTGCCCTCTCCACAATATTTTTCAAACTACATCCACTTACATTTTATACAGAAAGACTTTCGTATATAAAAGTTATTTATATTATTTAAGTCTAATCCTTTCATGTTAACTGAACTCAATCTCAAATCTAGGACATGGTAAAGAGGTCACATATTTAAGAGAAGAAAATTCTACACTTTGCCAAACATATTCCAAGCTTTTCAAAGAGAATTACTCATTCGAAGGAGTAGTACTTAAGAAAAAAAATTATATTAAATTCTCGTTTTCTTATGTGTCCAATTTATAGAATCAGACAAAAATCTATCTTGTCCCCCATCCAATTTCCCTTTTTATATAAAATTATAAAAAGTTATAATTTAAGATAAAAAATAACAGCCAATTCAAAATTTAATTTAATTTAATTATTTAATATAATTTTTTTTAAAAATAATATTTAATATATTTAAATTTTAAATAAATATTTGTAATTTTTTAATTTTTAAACTGTAAATTTTATTTATAAAAAAAAAAAACAATAACAACGACGCGTCTTTTTATAAAAAAATAAAAACATGGTAAGCTAGACCCTTCTAAAATTTATTTTCACTGTCATATCATAGGTAAGAGTTACTTGATGTGGAAGCCAGGAGGAGCAAAAACAAAGAAAGAAAGGGATGCTACACAACTTCACCAACTAATTGCAAAATTTAATTACGAAACTGTCCAGACATTTTTGAATGGGAAAATTTGATAGAGAGATCTTGTTTAAGTGTTTTTCTTAATTTTTTTTGGGAAAAATAGTAAAATTTCCTCGCTTTCAGTGCACTTTAATAATCATAGTACAATGGATTATGTTAGTTTAATCCAATAATAGGTCAAAGCAGAGGAATTGCTTTGCTTAATAAACTGTATCACCTTGGCAGAAATGCTTTTAAGCCAAGTTGGGCGCAGCCACACAAGCACAAGATAAGATTTGTGGGTTATGTTTGGTCTTTCTCAACCTTGTACATAATCCCATTTGATGTCATCTTGACTATTTTTAACAATCTTACTATCAATTATCAATTTCAATCACCATTGACAGCCACCAAGCTAGCCAGGGATTTATCAGTATAGACTTAAATCACGGTGCGACTGCGTAGGCCAAAAATACTAGTAAAAAAAATAGACAATTTGAAAATTCATTATAATTTAAGTTTAAATTTCATTAAATATATGGATTTCGGTCAATTATATATTGGTTTGAATTGTTTATTAATTTTTTTATATTTTTAAAAGATTATTTGATTAAAAAAAAAATAACATGCAGTATAACTTCTAGCTAGCATGCAAAATAATTTTGCTTATTATCATATCTTAATGCTATTGCACTTGTGCCAACTCATGCTCTTCCTTATTGACATTGGCGGATGGTTTAAAGAACCTAGGAGGCATGGCTCTCCAAAAATTTTGAATTTTTTTATATTTATGTTATTTTCATAATAATTTCAAAATTTTTTATAAAAAACTAATTTGGCTCTCTCAAACTTAAATTTATTGTGTTGATATATATTATTCTTATTTTATGTATTTATATTGGATATATAGTTACAAAAATTATTTTATGTATTACAACTCTTAATTTCAAAATATATATATAATTCTTTAACTTGTGTTTACTTATTATAAATAATTTTTAATTTAAAATGAATAATAAATTTGTCAACACTATGTTTTCATAAATATGTAAACTTAATTTTAATATATATGTAATTATTATAATAACTAAAATCAATTAGACAAATATCTAATTGTAATTTATTTTTCAATCAATTTTTTTATTATATTCTACATGCTCATTTTATTTGAAAATTGTTATATGTCAAAACAATTAATATGATTAGTTTAAATACATTTTCATTTTTTATAATGTAAAAATACCATGTAAAAAAATAGAATGTTTTAATTTATATATAAAAGTTTTCACTTTATTGTTTTAAATTTTAATTTATTTAAAATATATATTTTTGTGATTTTTTCATTTTAATACTTTAAATATTAAATATGATAAAATAATATGTTAATATTGTAAAAAAATAATGATTTTTTTATAAAGAATATTGTTAGTGATTTATAATTAGCAAAGTAAAATTAATTGTTTAATATATTCATTTTATTATATATATATACATATTAGCATATTTATAATTATAAATTTTGTTATTATATGTTTGCATCCTTTTTTATTATTAATAAATTTGATATATTTTGAAAAAAATTATTATAAAATATTACTTTGACCCTTTTAAAATTAAAAGTTAAAATCTGCCACTGGTTATTTAGTACATTCCTTAGTATTTGCACCTTTGAATTGGGTCCTTTTTGGTGCCCCAAATCATTTTGGTTAGTTTTTCTACTAACTTGTGCCATTGTTCAGTTTGGCTTAATAATCACTTAGATACTAATTCATTCATCTACAATAAGAGCATAAAATTCACTCTTATGTATGTTTAGGATTCATATCTTATACTTTTTAGAGGAATGTGATTTGAAAAATAAGGGAGAGTGGTTGTGAGAGAAAGAGAACGAAATGATAGGTAGAAGAGTGGGAAAAAACCAAAAGTGAAAAACTATTTGTGCCAACTAGATAGCTAAATCAGCAAAAGAAAGTTAAGTCAACATAATATTAAGCCTTTGATGCTATATTACATCGCGTGCGTTTCATACAAAATTTTCTGTATAAAAAAAATCTTAAATTATTACAAATTGTTCATGTTTTATTGTTATTTGTATAAAATAAAATATTTAATTTTGAATTGAATAATCACGTAAATGTTTAATTCTAAATTGTTTATTTAGCCGTTCAGTTTAGGTCTTGGATTTTCATGCTGCTCTTAACCAGTTGCTTGGCTAATCGTAAACACTGCCAATTGGTAGCTGGAAAATGTTTCATGTTTTTGCATCTTGATGAACCTAAAGAAATGGTTTCAAGTTTTTTTTTTTTTTCAATTCTTTTAATTTCTTGGTACGTCAACCCAGATAATTACAATCTCGACGAACAATACATAACTGGTTTGATCAATCCAACAAAACCAAATGGAAAAAGAAAAATACCCTATCCTTAAAACATATATGCAAGCATTAAGGGGAATCTTTGTTAGTGATAAGGTATCTTTTTATTAGCAATGAAAGCTAAAAATGTGAGAACCTATAATATCCCCAAAAGCATGCTGATTATCATCAAGAAAAAGCATGTTCTGGCTAGTAAGGTTTTTATACGGATGTATGTGTATGGAAATAATTATTAGGAGTAAATTATTGGAAGCAAGTAGGAAAGGAAAAATTGAAGGAAAATGAAGTGTGGAAAAGAGTTTCCTTGAGAATTCTCTCACAAGAGGGGATTAAAAGGAAATTTTTTAAGGACTGTAGGCTGTAGCCACCCCTTGCTGCTGTGACGCATGCCTGCCTAGCCTAATATCCTCTTTATGGACTAATTTTTTGTGCATTTGTGTATTTTTGTTTCCTATCAAATACATATAAATATAAAAATTATAATATTAAATTAATGTTGACATGTTAAATATAAAATATTTTATTTTTACTAAATCTATATACATATTATTAAAATTTTAAATAATATCATTTTTATATATTTTTTCATATTATTTTTGTCATATCATCGCTTACATCTAAAATTGTTAATTCTAACATTTTTTTTTTCATTCTTTCTACTTTTAACAGTATCTGCATTCTTCTCACACGAGGCTATAAGAAAAATAAATAAACAAAAATGAAAGGGAGAGTGTGATGGATATAAAAACTATATATACATTAGTACATACACATTTTATTTAGTTCAAAAGATGCTTCATGATTCATAATTGTCATATGAAATACTTCATTAAGAAGGCTTATCCATTCTCTCTCCACATGGTAAGATGACTCTTTCCTAACTATTTAAAACATCACATTACCATTTGTATCTTTAAACCTTTGTCAGTGTTAGATTATATAACACAGCATTTCCTTGGTTTACATAGTCTAACACATTTTTAATAAATTTATACTACTCAACATTTTATATAATCTTGCATTATTATTATTATTATTAAAAAGTTAAGATTCGAACACTTAAATGAATCCTAATTATGCATTAATATAACAGCATAATTTCAATATATAGTACAATATATTTCATTCCTTTGATTATTTGAAAAAAAAATTATATCTTATATATTTAGAGCTGATCAATTATGTGTATAAACTATCAAATCCAGACATAACATGAGCCCGATCAAAATCCTTACATAAAGAGTACAACTATATATCCACCGATTAACAAGCAGCTTCATGGAGAAGAGAAAACAAAAAGATAGCGATAAAACCAGTAGAGAATACAAGCATTGGGTGGTGGAAATATAATCTAAGAAAAAGGAAAAGGAAAAAAAAAAAAAAAACTTTCTCAGGCATAATGAATATCAATGTTTGAAAAGCTCGGAGAAGTCGGTGTCTTTTCGAGGGACATCAAATGTTAGGACTTTGGTCCCTCATAACCTGTCCTATGTGAAAATTGGATGGGAGGGACCATAGCAGATAATACAGGGAGAATAATAATGCTTTCTTCCTTTGTCTCCCCATCTTTTCCTTAATTATAACTTTTTTAAAGGAAAATAATAAACATATTTAAGGAAATTATCTCTATACCTAAAAGGAAAGAAGAAGAAAAAAATCTGAATTGTATTAGGCAATGATTCCCACGTGCATAACCTCTTTTGACAGCAAATCCTAAAATGTTGATATAAAATACTACTGCCTGTTAGTTTGGAAGATTAAGACATGGGAGCAGAGTTTTACATATTTGAAGCTTAACTTAAGATCCTATGTTCAATTTCCGTTGATTTAGTTATTTAATTAAGTTATAGTTTATTTGCTAATTATTTAATGATATAATCATTAATTATATAAATATAATACTTGATTATGAAAATAATATCAAAAAAAAAAAGAAAAAAAAAAGCTTGACTCAAAGAATTTAAAGTTTAACTAAATTATTTTATGCAATTATCATTAAAAAATGACATTTAATTTATTTAAAGTTAAAATTACAGTATTTACAACCTCGTTCCTTTATCTTTAAACTAGTCTTTTTTGTATAAAAAATTGACCCAAATCCACAGGCAACAAAAGAGTCACAAAAAGTGCAGTACAAAATTTGGATGTATATCATTGTTTAGTGGCTTCAATTTCAGATGTGGTTCAACGGTCTAGCACATGCATTTTTTTTTTCTACAGTTTTATCAATGTCTATATCTCTCCCTCTTTATCTCAAATCTTTGTTCCTATTCTTTGGAAAATTATGCTTGATTATTAGTCATCACTGATCATATAACTGCATTACATTGCATTAGTTGCATGTGAAATTTACTAGCCCTATGCTCCAACAGCGAGTTTTAAGAGAGTTTAGAGTTATAAGATTTTCAAGGTTCTCAATTTTAGATCTGATAATCTGAAACACGATATAGTGATATGTTACAAAAACGATATAAATAAAAGACACAAAGATAACAAGATTTAAAATTTTAATAAAAATTATAAATAAATTTAATAAAACTAAAAAATATATTTGATATTTTTATGTTAATACGAATTATAATATATAATTTTTATATAAAATTTAATATTAATATAATATTTTGTATGATACGATAAAGGTTTACTCAATTAAAGTTTAGGCCATTTGTTTCTTGAAGATCTGCAAATTCAGGATGAGAATCTCGCTAGAAGAGCCCAAAGCAATCTCAAAATCAAGGCCATTGAAGTTAAGTTAGAACTTAAATTTTGCTTGGCAGCACTAGTAGTATAGGCTTTATAGTCCTGGCTTAAAATAACTGCCATTGTAGAGCCCACTAACCTGAGAGACATTATCAAAGGCCTGACATAAGCCCAATAGCAGACATAAATTCGCAGTGCTGGAAAGCACAAAGAAACAGAAAGAGCCATGCACTGAATTGGCAAGCTTTATTTTCTGAATTAAAACATTCTATGGCTCCATTTTAAGGCGTCTTTAACTGCTCTCAAAACCTAATATAGAATGATAAATGACAATCCTTTTGATATTCATCCATCGCATCTAACAACATAAACACATTTCTTTCATATAGTTACATTATGTGAACATAGCTGTATCCTAATTTAATCAAGAAGACAAGAAACGAACACAATGTTGTTCTTCCAAAAATCATCACTTGCTTTTCCACATTGCAACAGAATTCGCTAGTTTAATATAAGCATACTTAAAATCTTCAAAGAACATATTCTGATTGTCTGCATATTTTGTGATCCACCTGTGGCATAAAATGAGCTCTCCTTTAGTTGAGTACACCAACGAAATCTTTTAAATGCATGCATGTGTTCTTCCCAAACGACCATCCATCCTTTGTCCCCCCATGTTGGCTGGCCAGCAAGAATTGCATTAAATGTTCTTTACCAGAGAACCCCTAAACCCAAATTAGGCATAATAATAACTCTATTGAAAAGAAAATTTCATGATACAGGGTAGCAACTAAATAGCAATTTAAGAGGATTTTCAAAGACAGACCTAAAGCATTCATCATCCTCCACAATGGCATGATCTGAAGGATGTCCGATCATGCTCGACATACCAGCTACATGCAAAAACTATAATCAGAGCAGAAACACTTATGTGACAGGACATAATTATCAGCAATTCACTAAGTACTCAAAATAAAAGAAAGAGTCACTTGATGCTTTAAGCAAACGAGTGCCCAGCTCAAATCCTTATTATAGGCCACTCTTTTAGGTATCATTTAGCACTATTATTTTTGTGAATAAGTGAAGTATACAAGGGATAAAAGTGCCTTCATAGAAAATATTAGTATTAACTGGCAACTATGCTTTTGAATATCTCGAGCATCAAGCATTTTTACAAAGCCAACATCTTAAGTCTATTGGATGGAAAACAAGGAAAATGATTAAAGGAAATAAAAGATATCATATGAATGAGTAGTGTTGAATTATGTACTTGAAGACTTCCATGGCTTCTCCAGAAGAATTTTGAAGTATGAGTTATCAAAAGTAACTGGACTTTGAAAACTTTTGCTGCCAAGAGTGTGAGCACCAGATAGAGCAACTAGTTCTTGTGCTGTGCAAAAAGAGAACAACATGCCATGTATTTCTTCAAACAGCATGTTTACAATTAAGTCATGACTCCATTAATTTCAAATGGATAATAGCTGTCAAAATTTCTTACCCATGTCTTTAAAATTATTTTCTATTTAACCAAAATTTTAAGTTCTTAATGGAAAAAAAAAATCAATTTTCAATTGGGAGGATCCATTCATTCGTATTAGAATATCTACATATCATGGCAAAAGCAAGCTATGTTGTGGATGATTTAAAATCCAGATAAAATCATGAAGAATTGATTTATCGATATCAAACAGCTGAAAACATGGAGCACAAAAATGAAAAAGGATGTTTACTAGCAAAAACTCATGGGAAGCCGTTCCTTTGAAAACACTGATTTAAGCCAGAAGCATCCAGAGATTCTTGGGGAAGCTTTCCTTCAGGATCCAGCTCTCTACATTGAACTCTTTCCATCAGTAATGAGGCACTAAAATCTCAAGTGGATGCCACAAGCTGCACTGCTGCAGGGACTAAAAGTTAAGATTATCAGGTAATAATACAGAGTCAGGAAATAACCTTATACTCATTTAGTCATTTTCAACTGCAGTGTCGAGGTTTTATCTTGGCAAAACATCCTTAAATACCTAGTTAACCAGTTATCAAGTTCTGTTATTTAAGCTGTCTCATTCTATAAGGTCGAAGCTAGGTGCTTACGCAGAATCTAGTCTGCCTAATGCAACAGGGATTTTCGGACCTCCACAAACCGAAACTACTTCAGCTCCAACCACACCAATTATGTCTGCCCATGATGCTAATAAAGGGAAAAAAAATCCGCAACATCTTAGCAGGGTAACAAACCATTGATTTATGTCAAAATCTTTTCATCTGATATTTCAGAAAGAAAAACCTGATTGTATTGCATCTACTTCTTTCTTTGCTCTCTCTAGAATCTAAAGAAGAATGCATCCATTGAAGTGTTACTAGAATTTAGGAGGCAAGCAAAAGCCAAAAGTACATATAAATACATAACTTTTATCTGAAGTAGAAAGAGAGAAAAAAAGGGAATGCCTTGAGAGACTTCTTGAGGCCGGTATTTTCGGGTCTTTCGAGCTCATAAATTACAGAACCATTCATACTACCTGCAAGAACAATTAAAAATAACAGTAAATTCATCATTTAAAAAGCTTTTAATAAACAAACATTAACATGCAAGAAGCCAGAATTCAATTGGATTCAAGAACATTAAACCCAAACTTAAATCCTTCGAATTCCTATTATAAGTAATTTGGCACATTTTGAAACCCGAATTTTCTTCCATTTCTAAGGTTCCAGCCTCGTGAAATGCTAAACGAAGAACACCAGCAGCCTTTCCCTTGGTTACTATACTTTTCTCTTCCTTTATACGCAGATACTTACTCTCACCTGACCTTCAATTTCAATAAAAAAATACCGTTGACAAATTGAAATTTTAAAAGGTCAATTAAAAAACTCAATAAATTATAAGGATTTGTTTTTAAAAATTTTGCATAACTTAGAACTTACCTAACTGCCTTAGCTTCAACATTGTCAACAAATTCAAGCAGAGGAAGAAGAAATGGCAGCGTTGCTGAAAACGCTAGCCCTCCTCTCTTACTCAAACTGCAATGGCGAATTTTTCCTGTAATTCAGGACAATGTTTTTAAAATAAGAATTCAAAAAAGTGAATCCTACTTGTTTTTTCTTTTACCTGAAGCTGAGGTGTTGTGGATGATGGAAGAAGAAAGCCGCACAGCTGAAAGATAAGCATCACTCTTGCAGTCTGATGGTGCTGAGGCTGAGAATGTGCCTTCTCCACTCATGGTCATGGATTTAAAGAAAATTGAATAAAGGCGAGAACCTAATGGAGAAGACATCGGCGGCTTTGGAAATGGGGAGAGACCTAGCATTTGAGCAACTTTGGTCATTGACGGCCTTAAATGCATATCTTCCTGTATGCACCATAATGTAACTTTAATAGCAGTATAAACTCTCTCATCTTCCCCTTCTATAGCCAGCCGTGAATCAAGGATATCTCTCGGCTTCCCTTCTCTAACATCATAAAAGCAAAGGATGGCAAGTAAGATTTCTCTGAAGATTCTTCCAGGTCGAAGTTTTTTCTTCCACCAATGATTTCTAGCAGCAGCATGCCGTGGCTGTAAACATCACTCTTCTCTGATATTCCATAGTTTGTGATCCACTCATGTGCAAGGTACCCCCTTGTGCCCCTTAGAGTGGTGAAAACATGGCTTTGCTCTCGAGGCATTGCTTTGCCAAGCCAAAATCTGAGACTTCGGCTAAGAAATTGTCATCAAGCAATACATTTTCTGGCTTTATGTCACAATGCACAATCTTTGAATCCCAATCTTCATGGAGATAAGCTAGCCCTTTTGCCGTTCCCACTGCAATATTGAATCTTGTTCCCCAATCCAGCAGGGGTTCTTCTCTGTTTCTCTTGAAGATCCATTTATCTAAGGATCCATTCGCCATGTATTTGTAAGCAAGAAGTCAATAGCTTCCTTCAGTGCAGAAGCCTTTCAACCTGGCCAGGTGGAAATGATGGAAACTGCCGATAATACCAACTTCATCTCGTAATACTTTCTTTCCCTGACCAATGACTTCCAATTTCTTCACAGTCAGTTGAGTTTCATCTGGAAGAGTTACTTGGTATACTGAGCCAAATCCTTCGTGCCCAAGCTTAACAGAGAACTTATTTGTAGTAGTCCGAAGGTCATTGTAAGTGAAACGAGTTGGCATCCTAGTTAAACTCTCCAAGAAATATCCTTTTCTGAAGTCTCATCAGGAGATTCTGGCATATTTTTCTTTTCTTGTAGTATTATGATAGAAAAAGTAGGCCAAACATGACGAGTACTGAAGAAACAGCGATAATCACAACAAATGAGAAGCGTATTTTGCCTCCTCCATCCCCTCCAGCATTTTCATTGTGTGACATCTTGACAAAAGCAACTAAATCAAACTGCTATTCAGAGCTTTGGAAGCTACCAACCTGGTAAAATAGGAAACAAGTCCCCCAGCTACTGTCATAGAACATAGCCATACAGGAGCAATTATTAAGGCAAGATGCTTCGCAACCACTCAGATTAGTTTTTAAAGAGGGAGAAACATAGCCAAGTGCAAAATAATTAAGCCCAGTTTCAGCAATCTACAAAACCTACGGAATCCTTTACCTGACTGCAGGGAGAGGCAATACGTGTTTTGCAAGCGCCTGAACTTAGCGCTGATGGACACTGGCACTTGGTGTTGCCCAAAGGTCCTGAACAAACAAAATATGGGTTACAAGCTTCTGGTTTGCTGCACGGATCATCTGGAATTTTTGTTGTTCGAGAGGACCCTTCAGCATGGAGATTGAAGAAAGATATAAAGCCATCACTACCTAACACTGTAATCCAAGTGGCATTTGCATCAATAGGATCTGATATTTTAAATTGCCACAGCAAGACTTTGCTTGCATCAAAGAAACTCCAGGAATTCGCATCAAGAGTTGCTAAAGTGACCTTATCACGATTTTTGTTAATGTTTCTTCGTGTGTCCTTTCCCATGGATCAATAGGGCTGTGGAGTTGAGTAACCTGCTGAAAGAGGATCATGTCGCTAGACTTGATTTTAGCTCAAGTTACTGGGGCTAGGATCTCTTATGAGTCTCATTCCTTCGCTAAACTCCTGGTTCGAAATAAGCTCATCGGAGGGATGAGCAAAACCAATGCCACATTACTCTGCAGTCATTCCCTTAAAAAACCAAATTTCCTGAATCCTGCAATACCTTAGCAGAAACTCCTTTGTCATTGTCCGCTAATATATATATTTTTTACAAAATTATCTAATTATAAAAAATATAAAAAGATATTTTAAATTATCTATACAACGCTATATTAAAAGGATCCCCAAAGGATCTGAAAGAAACTTGATTTTTTTTTTTTGCATGTAAAATAAAAAATTTTCAAAGGATCCTGAACTTAACATCCGGCATCTTTTATATTAAAAAAATTTTAAAAATCTTTCATACTTGTCTTTTGTTTTAATTTTGTAAATTTTTCGTGTTTGAATTTATTTTTCGTGAAGACACAAGTGGCATATTATCACAAAAAAAAAAAAAGGAAGAAATTAGGGATAGAAGGTTTAGGACTTTTACTAATGGACAGCAAGCTTAAGAAGGATATCAAAAAAGGAGGAAAGGACACTGATAGTGAAAGAAAATGAACAAAAAAAAATAGAGCAAAAAAATCCATAGAAAAACAGAATTCAATTTTTTTCTTCTATTTCTTTATCTCTCTTCTTCTTAGATCCTTCCTTTCCTTTTCCTTTTTTTTCCATGTTTTTTATGCTATATGTTTTTTTGTTTTTCTCCAAATTGTTGGGTTTTTATTGAGAAAACAGAGAAATGGTGATAGTGGGGTGTAGTGGTATCCATACATGAAGGCTACCCTTATTTTTTGAATAGAAAGGTGCATTGGACCACTTACGAGAAGAAAATGGACAAGGTTAAAAACTGAGTTTTGTTGTTTGATATGAAAGATGAAAAATTTAGAGAGATGAAGTTGCTGGAAAATTTGGTTGATGTGATTCCCATGGAGTTGTCTGGGTATGCTAGTAGTGTTTGAGCACTACTATATTTCATTATTTTATTTCTTTTTATGATATATTTTTTTAATTTTTTATTGTTTATATGAGCTTTTAGTTTATTTTATTGTTTTATTTTTTGCAGGAAAAGACAATAATTTCAATTAAAAATTTCAGATATTTTAGTTCTTTTAGTGCTTTCTATTTTGTTGTTCCATGCTATATCCTTTTTATTTAAAATTTTATTATGTATTTTCTTATTTGATGATATTTTTTATTTTATTTTTTATGATATTTTAAATATTTTAATTTACTTCTATTTGTTTAAGATTACATTTTGTTTTAGTGTTTATTTGAGAATTGTCTATCAACAGATTTAATATAATGAACTCAAATGTAGTAAAATAAACATAAAAGCCTCTACTTGGTTGCTCTATTTTTGGCAAGTATATCAGCAAAATAATTTTTTTTTATGTATCATTTATCAATTAAACTTACAATTTATTCGTAAAACACTTTCAATTATCTAATAACACATAAAGAATGGTTTTTTCGAAAAGGGCATAAAGAATGACTTTATTATGACAAAAATTTTAAAAATGAATGGTCATTTAAGAATTACTGAATTAGTTTCCAAAATATTATTAGAAAGTCAAGGCTAGCAATAACTTGCAAGCCATCCTTTATGGCCCACAACTCAGCAGTCATGCAAGTGATATTGCAAAATCTATTTGAAAAATAAAAAATGAAATTATCATTGTAGCACTAAATCAAATCTCCAGTACCAGTAAGTCCAAATTCCCACATCTATCTTTACTTAGATTAAGATAATTTTTTTATATGATTTCAATTGCTATCCTTGATTGATTTATTAGTGTAGTTCTCGAAAATTAATTTTATTCTTTGTTATTTGAATGCACCATATTCTTGAATTAAAGTGTGTTGATTTCTTTTAATCAAATATTTTATTTTTAGTTTTTAATTCCATTTTGAATTTATAGCTATACTTAGCTATATTATGGTGAAGGGTACTAACATAATTCAAATTCAAAAACTTTCTTTGCATTGCTTTTGACCTTCATGTTACTCAATATATACTACTTGGATTTTGTTACTCATTTTGCCCAATATTGAAATGATATTATTTTGGTGGCTGTAATAGTTGCATAACTTTATTTATTGTTCAAGTTTTTTCTTCTTTCCATTTGAATTGAACTATTATGATTGATTTTAATTATATGAAATCTATACATTCAATCTTTTTTTTCTTCTAGATACATCCTATAACAAATCTAATACATGCCATAACATATTTTATCAACTGTTGCTTTCACAGGTTACTACCTAATCTCATCAATTTATTTTTTCTTCTAATTCCAAATTGATTTTTTTTTTTTGTTGTTTATTTTGGTTTTTCCTTTTGTAGTTGATTATTTGGATTTTTTTTTTTTTTTACTTTAAAGTTTTACAGTTATAATGAAAGTCCTTTGTAATAGTTTAACTTTTTTTTGGGTCAAATTTGGGTGAAACTTAAATACATATGGCTTGCCCCCTTCATCTTAATGCTTACATTGCTCTTAATGCTTACATTGTTAGTCATTTTTCTTAATGCTTACATTGTTATTCATTTTTCTTAAGGACAAATAATTTGGTTCATCTTAGTACTTACATTGGTCTTAATACTTACTTTGATCTTAGTTTTTCTATATTTTGGACATTGTTCTTAATATGGACTGGGCATATATTTGAATCAAATTGTTTGTTATTTTCTTAATACTTACATTATTATATTTCTTTGATAATTAATTAATAATTTTTTTTATAAAGAAAAAAGTCGCAGATAAGCAAGGGCATTACACTATTTAATATAACATTGACCATACTCATAACAAAAAATATAAATATAAAAAAAAGAAAAACTTGAGAAAATGAACAAATAACGAAAGCAAAAAAGAAAAAGTGTTGGCACATAACATGAGCAATAATTATTTTATTTTGAAAATTTTATATTATTAATTTTAAAAAAAAAAACAAAAAAAATAATAAAATAAAGATGTGCT